TCTTCAGCATCACCTTCTTCAGAAGATGGGCGTCGCCGAGCTCTGGCTGGCGTAGACGACGGCGCCGACGGCGTTGATCGCCGCCGCCAGCACAAAGACCGGCCCGAAGCGGCCCGAGGACTGGAGGACCAGCTCGGCGGTGAGCGGGCCGCAGAGGAGGCCGGGGATGGTGGCCAGCGTGTTGCTCACCGCGAAGGTGATGCCCGCGTGGGCGGGCGCCACGTCGGAGTGGTTGGCCAGGTGGCCGGCGGAGTTGAGGGCGCAGAAGGCCATCGCCGCGACGATGATGGAGACGGCGGGCAGGAGGGAGCGCACCGTGGCAAAGGTGAGCATGCAGAGGCCGGCGCCCGCCAGGCCGACGGCGGTCATCAGCCGGCGGACGCGCAGCAGGGGCCACTTCCGCTCGGTGATCAGACTGTCGGCGATGTGGCCCGCTCCTGTGAGAGGAGAAGTTAAGCGGAAAATAGAAACAGTGATGATGGTAATAGGGGATCAAATCAATCAAATGATGGACTTACCGATGCCCGCTATAGAGTTGACGATGTAAGGGACGGCGGTGAGGGAGAGGCTGCGAGAGTCGGCGCCCAGGTACCGCGAGAGGTAGTAGGGAAACCACTGCATGATAATGTAATTGGACCAGTTCATGGCAAAGTGGGCAATGTAGATCGCCCACAGCGGCCAGCCGGTGAGGAAGAGGCCGGCGTACGTCCACCAGGAGCGGTACCACCGGCCGGAGCCTGGAAAGGAAGAGGAGGAGCTCTTCAAGCTGCTTCCAATGATCAGGGGTGCCTCCGATTCTCCGCCGCCGTTGATGCTAGGCGCCTCCAGAGAGATGATCGTCTTTGAGCGCGACTCGTCGGTGAAGCCGCCGCCGCTGCCGCGGTAGTAGAAGGCGAACCAGAAGTAGGTCCAGACGATGCCCAGCGCGCCGAACTTGTAGAAGGCCAGCGACCAGTAGAGGTGCGGCGTGAGGAGGGCGGCCACCGTCTGGCCGACAGTGCCCGCCGATATCAGGTAGCCGAAGGCGCGAGACCGCTCCGAGACGGGTACATTGGCGGCGAAGAGCTGGAAGATCATCGGCAGGCCGAGGCCTTCGCCCAGGCCGAGAAGAATGCGCAGCGGAATGAGCAGGAGGAGGTTCGAGGCGACCAGGGGCGTGATCAGCATCGACATCGACCAGATGAGGACGGAGAGGGTGAGGATGTTGCCGGCGCCGAAGCGGCTCGCCGCCGCAGAGCCGATGATCTGAAAGGT